AGGTATAATTTTATTAGAAGTCAAGTGTTTGGCAGTAATGCATAACCAGAACAGAGAATCGCACACCAAAATCCCTAAGTTCAACTTTTCCCTCCCTCAACTGCCTCTCATCACTGACCCCTAATGACCAATCAGTTTCAAGCAAGATGTTTTCAGAACAGAACTTCAAAAGTAGATTGATATGCAGTTACTTTCTTCTCCCAGCCAAGTGACCTTGAAGCAGCATCTCAGGGAGATACAGAAATACTTTCGCTTTCCCCCAAGCATCCCCCCCTCCCATCCCCCCCTCCCCAGAGTTCATGGCAGGATGTCACTGCATGGTAGCAAAGCACAAAAGCAAGGGGAAAGGAGCAGCTCACACATATTTTCTAATTCATTATCAGTTTAATATCTCATTGTTATGCATTTTTGATTAGAAAATATTTGGAAGGTGATCATAGACTACAGAATGAATGGCAGAACTTTATTAATATCATACACTTGCTAATATATTCTTTTTTTTCAGAAAAGAGCCTGATATTTCTGATACTTTAGGACCAATTTATAAAGATGAATCATCCAAGGAGTGGCAGGCTAACTAGCACCAGATTCTAGTATATTTGCAATCTGATACAATTTCCACTATAAGGCAAATGTCATGCTTTGTGGAATGGAACTAATTACTGTTTGTGCCAAAAGTAAGTTTTAATCTATTTTAGTTCTTGCTTAGTTTCTCCTTGTTCCTAACCAGATGGATTCCACAATTTCTTGCTTATTAAATCCATCCTTAGTGGAGCTGAGAGTGAGAATAGTTTATAGCAGAGATATATGTGCAACTCAAAGAGTGTCTCTTGGTCCCAAAAAGTTATATATACAGGTTCATAGTCAGAATAGATATCTGTTACTTATTTACACTATGACTGGGGAGAACGTAGTTTGAGATTACCAACCAACATAATCAGTCCTTTGCTGTAGAGATCTAACTTTCTGTTTCCCTGTTGTAATGAAGATAAGATAAGATAACCTTTATTGTCATTTTTTTAACCGTGGGCACAATAGCACACATCAAAAATGAAATTTAGTTGCCCGCTCTCAAAGTGAAACACATACATTTGATTTTAATGTCTGATTTTACTGCAACAGAGAGAGTCGGATGTCAGTGTCTTTTGTTTCTTTCCCCCATTTCTTCACACCTTTTTTGTTTTCCCTTTTTCTACTGTTGTCCCCTACTATTTGCTTTTGTATTTTCACATTTTATGTTATATAAATGAATAAAACTTAATAATAAAAAAGAAACAAAAAACTAAAACAAGCTTATTGAAAGATTAACACCCCTCTTTTCCTGTATGTTTGCACCAGAGGGTAGAAGGGAAAATGGGGAGTGCATTAAAATCATGTCTGGTGAGTTTAAAGGACAGAAAAGCTTGATGCTGCTGCACCGAGTATGTTATCTACTGGGGTAACAAAACATCTGTAAGGAAACAACCAAGCTTAAAGAGCACTAAGGATGCCACAGGACCACGGAAAAGTAGATAATCTAGCTCTAAAGTATAGGAAACAAAGGCCAGCAGCTACCCACCCCTCCATCGTATGTTATATTTATAAGGCTAGATCAGCAGGAATACCCTGAAAATGGATATGTGTTTTTTTGCTGAAAAGTGCTTGGGAGAGAAGATATCCCCACACTTTCTAGATATAGCATTCACCCTCTGCAGCTGTCTCTTATCTTTATGCACTTATTATATCACCAATGCATTAAATTTTGGAATTCCGTGAGAATGCTAATGTGAGATCCATTAACACCATTTCCATAAGCAAGCATAAGCTGGTTTTGTAGAGCAAAGGAGAACCGTTTGTTCTGAAACTCATGGAAGGACTTCAGCTGCCTTGAGATGAAAATACAAGCAAAACCACAAGCCACAGAAACAGACGTTTTGCCTCTGGCTTTATTTTTCTTTACTCTGCAGATTTAATTCTTCAGAGAACTTATTCTCCCCACCCCCTATCCTCCACTTGAAAAAAATCTCACAATTGGCAAGCTATACCAAAAACTGGTCATTCTCAGCTTCTGCAGAAATTGCTGAAAAGCCTTTGCCTTTGTACTAAATTCTTCTGTTAACTCCATCTGAAACCAGCTGGATTATCACCAAGCCACACCCACTTAAGGGATTAGATTAGATCTGAAAGTTGGCCACTTGTCTAAACAATTCAAGGCACCCCAATTTAATGAGCTTCCCACCTTGCCTTTTGGCAGCATTAGACCCTACCTGAGCTCTTATCAGATGATTGTGGATCAATTAAAAATTAAACAAAAAAGTTGTAGCAGCCAGTATGGATGACCTACCAAAGTGACAAAGCCAAGATAATGATTCCACTCTTTGCTGGGTAATATGACTTGTTGAATAGAAGGGAGTATCTATAGCTCAGGATTGAACTGTGGAATGCTTTTTGTTCTCTTAGATTGGTTATTTGCTTGCAGGCTTTTTATTACCTAACTACATTACAGTACAGTACAGTAAAGTTATGCTTAAAATCCTACAAGCTAGACTCCAGCAGTATGTGGATCGAGAACTACCAGAAGTACAGGCAGGATTTCGAAGAGGCAGAGGAACTAGAGATCAAATTGCCAACATACGCTGGATCATGGAGAAAGCTAGGGAGTTCCAGAAAAACATCTACTTCTGCTTCATTGCCTATGCAAAAGCCTTTGATTGTGTGGATCACAACAAATTGTGGCAAGTTCTTAAAGAGATGGGAGTACCAGACCATCTCATTTGTCTCTTGAGAAACCTATATGCGGGTCAAGAAGCAACAGTGAGAACCGAACACGGAACCACTGATTGGTTCAAAATTGGAAAAGGAGTCCGGCAAGGCTGTCTACTGTCGCCCTGCCTATTTAACTTATATGCAGAGCACATCATGAGAAAGGCAGGGCTAGATGAATCAAAAGTTGGAATTAAGATTGCTGGGAGAAATATCAACAACCTAAGATATTCAGATGATACCACTCTAATGGCAGAAAGTGAAGAGGAACTAAAGAGCCTCTTGATGCGGGTGAAGAAGGAGAGTGCAAAAGTTGGCTTGAAACTCAACATTAAGAAAACCAAAATCATGGCATCCGGCCCTCTCAATTCCTGGCAAATAGATGGGGAAGAAATGGAGGTAGTGACAGATTTTATTTTTCTGGGCTCCAAGATCACCTCAGATGGGGACTGCAGCCAAGAAATTAAAAGACGCTTGCTCCTGGGGAGGAAAGCTATGGCAAATCTAGACAGCATCTAAAAAGCAGAGACATCACCCTGCCAACAAAAGTGCGTATAGTCCAGGCCATGGTTTTCCCAGTTGCAATGTATGGCTGTGAAAGTTGGACCATAAGAAAGGCTGAGCGCCAAAGAATTGAGGCCTTTGAACTATGGTGCTGGAGAAGAGTCCTGCGAGTCCCTTGGACTGCAAGGCGTTCAAACCGGTCAGTCCTAGAAGAGATCAACCCCGACTGCTCTTTAGAAGGCCAGATCCTGAAGTTGAAACTCAAGTACTTTGGCCACCTAATGAGAAGGAAGGACTCACTGAGAAGGGCCTAATGCTGGGAAAGATTGAGGGCAATAGAAGAAGGGGACGACAGAGAATGAGATGGCTGGATGGAGTCACTGAAGCAGTAGGTGTGAATTTGAATGGACTCCAGAAGATGGTAGAGGACAGGAAGACCTGGAGGAACATTGTCCATGGGGTCGCGATGGGTCGGACACGACTTCGCAAGTAACAACAACACATTACATCCTCAGTGCGAGTGAGAGTGGGGTTTGCTGCTTGTTTTAGTTTGTTTTTTATGCTACATAATATAGCCTTTTTTTTCCTTTTGCCATATGATATTCTATTGTACATCTTTCAGTGTGAACATCCATTCATGGCTCCTCCTCTCTCTGGCTTTCCTAAAGCATTAAGTGTTGATGAAAAGTTGCAAGCTCATTTTGTCACTGTGATGCCTAGAACATCCTTGCAGCTTGCAAAGATGGAAGAAATGCTATGAAGTACTGGCAATTAATGTCACGGAGAAAGAAAAATAGAGGCCGAAATAAAGGAGCCTAGGTACGGTACTTAACTGTAACCCGATGTCCTTCAAATGTAATAAATTTGCAACTTTCAGGATTTTCAACTAGCATGTTGCATTTCTGCAGCCTCACTCTGCAAATCTTCTTTTGATCCTTCCCAATGTTAGATTTTTCTGGTGTGACAAAGATGTGGTTTTGAAATTTTACAGAAGGATTTTTCAGTACCAAATTCCCCATTCTTCCTTCAGCCTCAGAGGAAAAATGCAAAACATCTTATGATCTCTGGTAAGTCCTCCCATAGATCATAAGATTTCAGCCTAGTCATATTAACTGTTGATGGTTATGTTCTCTTTTCATGGGAAGAATGACCAGAAAATAATCCACAAAATATTCTAAAATAGAATCATTCTGGTTAAGCAAAAACAGATTGCAATCCTTCCTGAGATCAAAATCAACTATATTTCTCACCCTGGAGATATGTCAGGTAAGAGTAAAACATTAGGATAAAATCTCTGTTTGGAAGAAAGTCAGACAACAAAACAATCTAATAATAAATGTGTGCCCATCACTGTTGTTGGACAAGAGTATGGTATCTTGAGTTAGATATAAGAATCATGCCTTAACAATAGGTTAATTCAGCAATTCTGGTTTAAGCTTCCCCCACTTTTTTTTCTTTTTAAATAAAGCCATTTATTCAAATATCTCTGGATCTTTTGGCTATGGTCTTTATAGGCTTTTTCAATAAAGAGACCCAGAAGTGCCTGCTAACTACTCAGTTTAAACTGGGGAGGGGAGAGATCTTGGACAATAAAACCCTCTCTTTGTACGGTAAAAGTATTTTCCATTGGCCTCAATGCATAACAATAAAAAAAACACTATGCCACATTGCCACATCCCCCACAAACAACTGCCTTGATAATCCTTCCAGCCATCATTCACTGCTGCTCTTCTATTGGTTGGTGGAGTCTATAATTCCTCAGTTGCAGAGTATTTAAAAGCAAGGGAGTGGCATCATAGTTCCCTTCATCTCTGAGTAGAATCTTCTCCGTGAGCTGCAGGAACAAGGAACAGAGCCATGCCTGTGAGTTTATGGGGCAGTGATGTATGATGATTAAGGATGCTGGCTATTGTTGAAGCGAGACATTCAGATTAAATTAGGGTACCTTGCCTTCCTGCTGTTGGAAACAGAGGCAAGATACCCTAATCTACCCTGATCCTTCTGGAGAGGGGATCTTGATTTTGAGCTGGCTGATTGGTTTTTCCTAAAAGCTGTCATTGTAGTAGTACCACAGTGAAAGGTGAAATTGGCTAAAAAAAATGTTAAATAGAATGTGTGGTCTCTTAACAGGCTTCTATCTAGTATAGAGTTTCTGACGGATTGACTAACTATGAGGTTATTGTAATTTTCTCATTTGTTTGGGAAAAGTTCATGGAAGTTTGGCTTAGATTTGTTTCAGCTTAACAATCTTTTTCTCCCCATTCTCATCCTATCAGCTTTCTCCCAATTTTGCAGTAGCTGCAGAAAACTGCTGAAAAAAAAAAGCTACTAACGGAAGCCTCAGTTTTGCAGACTCTGTAATCTCATTATTATTATATAAGTCTAGCATGATTTTAAATCCACAAATTTGAAGGAACTGAAGACATCTATTAGGGGGAATAAATAACAGGAATGTTCAAAGTCTTGGGGCAACTTGGTGTGGCTCAGGCTGGCGTAGACTTGCAGGGGCGTTGCCCTATTAGGCCTTTCCTCACATTATCTATCATTTTCTCTCTTTTATGGGTAACTTAACTTTTGCAACAACAACAAAAACCCGAAATGAATCTTTTTCCATTTTTTTTTAGTTCAGTGTCAGGAAGAAATATTGCTCGAGTTCTGTTTTGGCTGCTTCGTAAAAAAAAACTGTAGGCATCAGAAAAACTAGGATTTCTCTTGCCTCTTCATAAAACATACTTTGCCAGTTTTAATCTCTTAAAAATACCCCAAAGACTTTTGTAACAATTTCTCTGAATAGCAGATGGGGATTGAGAACAGTTTTCCCGAAGAACATCGCATCAGGCATTCAGGATCAATGTGATAGGAGTCTGAACTTAGCCATCTTTCCATAAAGGAAGGGACTGGAAGCTTTAATTGTTCATGTTGCCATCTTTTACTTTTGAGATTTTTCACAAGCTTCCAGTTATGAATTACTGTGCAAAAGTTAACTATCAAATGATGATGTCAAAACACCTCTTCCCCTCTCCAAAATCCCTGGCATACACAGTCAGAAGATGGCTATGGGTTTGAAGCACTTCTCTGCTTTTCATGGCCTTGCCAATCGTGAAATTCAGCTTGCAGCAAAAGGTGGCTGGCAGTATCATGACTCAGCCTGGTTCTTGTCTTGCTCCTCTCGGCTCTGTTAGGTTTGGCAGGATAGAACAAAGCAGGATGAGGCTGCAGTAATGATGGTCTGGGAGCGAAAGAATGCCAGCTCAGAGAGAACAAGATGAAAATCTCAGATGAGGTTCTTTCTTTTGTGTCATGGCTGCCTTAATGCAGCTGTCCAGAACCACACAATGCTAGAGCATTTGGTCAAAGTTATAGCTACACTTGTGTTTAATAACGGAAGGGAGGAAGATTTTTGTTTTTATTGTCAATAGCAACAAATATTCCAATTATATGATTATTTTTTCATTCCCAGCAGAGATGTCTACTTAAAGAATAACATCTTAATGTGCCATGCTAATATGGAATAACTAATTCCAGGATTTTTATGTAAACATAGTGCAGATTAGCAATCTTTCCACCTAATAATGTACGATCTGATGAGAAATAACCAGTTATGCTACCCCTTCTGATTTATGCAGAAATATCATTCCTATTGCTGTTCTGGCCAAACATTATTTGGATTAGCTGGAAAGTATCAATATAAATTTGCATTTGGTTAGCGGACCACTTTGCTATGTGTCCTAATCTAGGAACAAAACATATCAAGGCACATTATAAGGGAAATGCATGATATTCCATATTTCTGCTAATTCAATTAAATTTGTACCAGTTTTATTTGTTTAGAATACCTTTCCCAACCAGTGAACCTCTAGAGATGTTACAGATTTGATCCCATTGTTGTTGGCTGAGGTGAGAGTATTGCAATCCCTTCTGGAATGATTCTCTGAACTGGTAACACTGGGTAAAATCTTCTATCAATGCAGCAAATTGTTGGCTTCAAATAACCCAACAGCAGTTGTTTATAATGGATGTAGATTCTAATTTACCTTTTCTACAAAGGAGGTTACACAAACAACTCACTAAATGCTTTTGGAATTCCTTTTCTAGGGAATTGTTTGTACTAATCTGAGCATTGCACCTGGCCAGAAGGTGTCCGTGAAAGGTGATGTTCTATCAGGAGCTAAGAGGTAAGTTGGCATCACTAGTAAGATAATTTGGAACATATTTAGAATCATATGTAGTAGAACCTTGTATTGGTTCATATAAGCTTTCCTCACCAGGTGATGGCCATTGTACAATAGGAGTTTATATCTAACACATCTGGAAGATGCCAGATTGTTAAAAGCTGAATTAACCATAATGGCTTCTTCCAAAATGCCTGGGAACTATGGTTAAGTAACATACAGAAATTTCTTTGTACCTGTCAGATTGCCAATCCCATCAGGCAACCAGACCAGAAAAAGAACTCCACATTAAATTAGAACTATACTTTATTCAGATAGGATATAATACTGGAATCTTGAACACTTGATGTGCTTTATTTCTCTATTTCTTATATCCCAGCAAATCAGGGATGAGATTGCTTAAATTACCTCTAGATACTACCTTGCTTTCTGAGACTTAGTGTTTCAGCCCTCTTTGTTTATATAATGATTCTTGCATATTTCTATCAAGATCATCTCCCTGACTCTCTACACCAGTGGTTCTCAACCTGTGGGTCGGGATCCCATTTGGGGTCGAACGACCATTTCATGGGGGTCGCCAAACAAGGCTGTCCGCCATTTTTCCCCCTTTTCTTTGGCCACGCCCCTGGCACCCGGTGATGTATAAGTGGCTGGGGGTCACCACAACATGGAGAACTGTATTATGGGGTCACGGCATTAGAAAGGTTGAGAACCACTGCTCTACACTGATATATTCTCCAATGAAATAAAGTACAGTCCTGGACCTATGAGAGTAGGAGGAAGAACTTAGTAGTTCTCAGTAACAAAACAGAAGAATCATGTTGCGTCTTTCCTCTTCTTACTCTAAAAGGAGCAAAATACTTGCTAGAAAAGATTCCAAAGTTGTATTTTCCAAACATCTTTTGGAAAAAAAAATCTTTGGGACAACCATGATGTGGATGATTGAGAATCTCCATGGACAATTTGCTAGAAAAGGGTTAATGCCACTGTAACATTTTCCAGTGACTTATATCTGAACACATCCTCCCTGGTCTCTGCTACTCCTGCCAAAAAACTAAATAAAACCAGCTGTTGGGCAGCAGCCCTACTGTCTGTCTGCCTTCTGTCTCCTCTTGGAATGTGCCTCTCCTCTATTCACTGCACACAGTAATCTGTGTTTGGTGGTCTTCTAAAAGAAAGAGTAAGATGATTTGAAAACTGTACATATGCTCTTCTGACTGTGGTTTCCAGTTTGAGTCTCCATTTTTAGAGACACATGTTTGTCCATTTGTTGACTCATACTGTGGCATTCCTCAGCCAAGTGTCTTCCAGATGTGTTGGATCACAGCTCAACAGCTCAAGCCAGCATGTTCAAATGTCATTCAAGCTAGGAATTGTGGGAGATGCATAAAGACATTTTTCATAAAGTTGAGAAAAATTATCTTGATTTTTTTTTTCAAACCCTGACATTTGACTATTGGATTTTTTTTTTTTTTTCAGAAATGGATATTTGACTATTACATAGGCCTTGTTTTTTCCCTTCTATTCAATCATGCCTGATTCTTAGAGATTGCCTGGACCATCTCTGCAGTTTTCTTGGCAAGGTTTTTTAGAAATGGTTTGCTATTGCTTTCTTCCTAAGGCTGAGAGAAAGTGATTAACCCAAGGATACTTAGCTTGCCCAAGACGGAGTTAGAACTCATGACCTTCCAGTTTCTAGCCTGATGCTTTAGTCACTACACCAACAGCTCTCACATATGACTCTAAAAGTTTAAAACTGTATGCTTGCTCTTCCAGTTCTCACCAATGTCAGGAAAGGAACTGGAGACTTTCCTTGAAAAAACTGCATGATCAGCACCACTTAGTAATTTCCAATCAGTCCTTAATGTTTGGCTTGACATGAAAGCAAAAGTGGGTGATAGGTCTGTAGAGGAAGAGCAGGTCTAGGCAGGAAAATATTTTAGAAATCATTCCAAATGATAAATAGTGGAGTATCTTGCCAAAAAATGGTAACATACAGATAGGAATATTCCCCCTTAAAATATATTGAAGAAGTACAAATTATAACTAAAATCTAGTCATTGAAGGCCACTTAAGAAAAAAAAGGAATTCACATGGCAAAAAGGTACAATTTGAAAGAGAAAAATGGCAGGATATTATGAAAATCATGCTACACAATGGACTTACCCAAGCAGGTGACTTCCAGATTGTGCTGCTTTTAAGCTCCCATCACTTCTGGTTAAAAGGAATTGTAACACCCTCTGGCAAGCACCAACGGTGTTGGTGGGGAGTGTGTTAGACATCTATAGACCCCCTTGGGGGAGTCTGTATTTTGTCACTGAGACAGATATTCTGAGGATCAACATGCCCCAACTCTTCCCTTACTGGTAATAAAATCATTCCCATTATTTGGCTCAGACATCTCCCACTTGCACCCCAAAGGCAGGGAAGATCCCTGGAAGAGACAGATGCTACTAATTAAAGTCAAGAAAACTGATCTTCTTTGGGAAAGATGCTTGAGTAAGAACATTGCTATGTGACTGCTTCAGCTTAAGGGTAAGGCGAGGCAGCTACCAGGCTGCAAACTGGGGTGGGAGAAGGTTGGAATTGGCAGTGGATGCCTTTTCCCCATTACCATGTTGCAGAGTTCCCACCCATCCTGAAATTAGTCAGAAATTACCAGCATGAAATTTTCCATTCCCATTAATGATCCCCCTCCTGCCTCTGTTTCCCTCCAAAGCAGAGTTTTTCAACCTTGGCCACTTTAAGATGTGTGGACTTCAACTCCAAGAATGCTGGAATGCTGGCTGGGGAATTCTGGGAATTGAGGTCCACATATCTTAAAAGTGTCCAAGATTAAGAAACATTGCTCCAAAGTAAGGGATGGCAAGCCAGTTCTTAAGGCCTTTGCATAACGCCAGTGCATTTGGAGCTATCAACTACACACAAAGACACACACACACACACACACACACAGAGAGAGAGAGAGAGAGAGAGAGAGAGAGAGAGAGAGAGAGAGAGAGAGAGAGAGAGAGAGAGAGAGAGAGAGAGAGAGAGAGAGAGAAAGAGAGATGACTTCAAGTCTGTCTCATTGAGGGACGGGAAAAAGTCCTTGGGGATGTCATGGGGACAGGGCAAGAGCCCACCATCTATGTTTATGCCGTGGTTAGGTACAAGTGGGGACAGATCCTGAAATGGTATAGGGTTACCTGCCTGAGCAGGAGGTTGGACTTGATGACCTCCAAGGTCCCTTCCAACTTTATTACTATTATTAATTATTATTATTATTATTATTATTATTTGTTCCCAAAGTTGTTTTTCTTGTGATTTTCCATACATCAGTAACTTGACTGTCCCATGAAATTTGAGATGTAAACATTTCTCTGATTTTGTGCACTGGAAGAGATGAGTCATTGACAGTTCCCTAACTTGTTTCTTTCTTTCCTATTATCTTTGCATGAAATCATAAATTCTCTGCTCATGCTCCTATCTTGTGTTTAGTTCAGAAAGCAGATGTCTTCTCAGAGTGTAAAATCTCTTTAAGATTCTAAACATCTGAGAGGAATTATGCTTTCTAAACTTTTAGAGAGATATAACATTTAAAATCAACACAATCTTGAGTGGAGGAAAAGATACTTATTATATGTCAAATCTGATTGTGTAAGCTTTCGAAGCAATGTCAAACTTTACTAAAACAAACAAAATGCACTAAGATCCAGATTATGGTAAATTGAGTTAAATATTTCCTGAGATGACCTGCTCCAAACTGATTTGGAACAGAATATTGAAGTAGCATGTGTGCTTATTCTTATCTTCATTTATTGCTCTTTATCAGAGTAGAAAATATGCAATGGAGAGCATTTGTATGAGTGAGAGAGACCACCTGTTTAAGACCTGAACTTGCTTCAGATTACAATGTGAAGGAGGGAAGGAGGAAGCTACCACAATAATTCTCAGTAGCTGCATTTGTGGAGTATACTGCAAACTATCCAGCATGTTTCAGCCTACTTGGTTGTGTGAACTCAGTTTGCCAGTTTACTTTAGTGTCTTGTGTGAGCCAAAAAATTGGGTTAATAAAGTATGGATAAGTAAGAGTGCCAGGCAAATACTTCATGCACATATTGCCACTATTTTTCACATAACCCTTAGAACAGTGGTTCTCAACATGTGGGTCGGGACCCCATTTGGGAGTCGAACGACCATTTCATGGGGGTCGCCAAACAAGGCTTTCCGCCATTTTTCCCCCTTTTCTTTGGCCACGCCCCTGGCACCCGGTGATGTATAAGTGGTTGGGGGTTTCAGTGATTTTGGAAGAGAGGGATATAAATGCCATAAATCAATCTATTTCTATTATTCTTCCTACACAAGGATCTAACCATATTTTTTTCCATCCATCACAGTTTTGCAATAAATATCGGCAAAGACAAAGAGAGTATTATTTTACACTTCAATGCACGTTTTGATGCTCATGGAGACATCAGAACCATCGTGTGCAATTCCAAGATCAATGGGCAATGGGGGAAAGAACTCAGGGAGAGCAACTTCCCTTTCCAGGAGGGTAGCCCTACTGAGGTAAGACTTGAAAATATTCAAGAAGAGACAAAATGCACCTGCATGCTTGGCAAACTTAGAGCAGTGTTTTCAAACTTGGCAATTTTAAGATGTGCAGATTCCAACCCCCAGAATTCCCCAGCTAACTGAGAAATTCTAGGAACTAAAGACCACAAATCTTAAAAGTTGCCTACTTTGAAAAACACTGGTTAAGAGCTACACACATCTTACGCACTTAAGCCAACTATTTTGAAGCTGGAATTCCGAACTAAACTTGTTCTTATCCAAATTGATAATGAACCTTATCCTTTTCACTTTCAGAAGGTCTTCTGTTAAATCAGTGTTTCTCAACCTTGACAATTTTAAGGCATGTGGACTTCAACTCCCAGAATTCCACAGCCTCTGGGAGTTGAAGTCCACATGCCTTAAAATTGTCAAGGTTGAGAAACACTGTGTTAAATCTATTAAGAATGGTATGAGAAGCTATCACAACATAAGGGGCAGCTTTCCCCAGCACTTACTCTGCACCTGTTTGATAAAAATACCAATTCTCCCAGCCGGTGGCTTATCAGCATTCTATTCCAATACACCTAGGGACTAATTTAGACATTATTCATCTAATAGTCCTTCTAATACTCCTCTAGCAGTTCCTTTAATTACTCCTCTGATAGTACCAACTGAAGCTCTTGAAGGTTTTGTGATGGGCAGCTCTTGGGAGCAGTTTATTTCCTTACTTGTTCAACTTCTCCTTGGGGAGTTCCTAGCTCTTTCTAGTGACAATGAATAATTTTTTAAGAATGATGGGGTCTGTCATATATGAAGATCTCAAATTATGTAAGTCTGTTGTAGCTAATAAAGAGGAAATTAAGAACTTGTGCTCTTCCCAGCATTCTTAGTCACTGGCTATATTGGATGAGACTAATGAGAACTGGATTCTATTTGGAAGACTATATATTCTCCAACCTTGTATAATAGAACGTTTATCCATCATATAATTAAAGGCTTAAAAGCTTTATGAAATTACCAATCATTAGTCAGATTTTCTTTGGCAATTCTTTCACCTACCCAACTGCTTCCCAACTTATTATTCATTATTATTAGGCTAATTAAATGGATGTTGTCTCTTCTGCTGAACTATATTTCACTCCACAGTGTTTTTTTTTTCTTTTCAGATATTGTTCACACATGACAAAAAAGAAGTGACTATTACATTGTCTGACAACCATCAGATCAAGTTTCCCAATGACTCTGGTTTGGAAACCATTGACTTTATCTGCACAGAAGGAGACTTGTGTTTCAAAATCCTCTCACTAGTTTAAACAATCTCCTCCTGTCCTGCTCACTTTTTTTGCTTAATAAGGCAACAAAATAAATGCAACTGAATTCTGGTCTTCTGGTGATGTGTCTTTTCAGTTCTTGCCTTTGTAGTTCAGGATTTTTCAAACCAAGCATTTCTATATACAGTACCTTGAGGGTGGCTGACTGGACATATGGTTGCCTGGTATCTCTATATTCAGTATCTTGAGGGTGGCTGACTGGACATATGATTCCCTGGTTGAGAGATAAAAGCTGTATACATTAAAAATGTAAAAGAAATATATTTTGGGGTCCTTATTGTTTAGTAGAACTATTTGCATCTCAGTTCTTATTTTATAACAATAAAAAGAAAATAAAAATGATAAAATAAAAGATGATAAACCAGAATAAAAACAATTTATTTCAAAACAAAACATAATTTAGGAAGAGTTACTGGCTAAGCCAGCATAGAATATATATTTTTAAAGGAAGGCTAAAATTTGAGGCCTGGTGTGTCATAGAAATGGAAAGTTATTCCACAGAACAGAAGATGCTACCACACAGAAGATCTTTGACCATAGGAAAAGACAAGAACGTAACCTTATCTCAGTTTGTCCAATAGTCTCTCATCAATACAGAGTTTAATTAAAGATATTTGGAGGATACCAGTTAGCAGAAATAGATAGCCAGTTTGTTGTAGCAGTTAACCTGATGCTTTAATTCCTGGCTAGAAACCAGGAGTCTGTGAATTCTAGTCCTCATTAGAAGCCAGGTGGGTATCCTTGGGCTGGTCGCTCACTCTCAGCTCTAGGAAGTAGACAATGGCAAACCACTTCTGAAACCTTGCCAAGAACTCTGCAGGGACTTGTCCAGACAATTACCAGGAATCAATACTGACTCCAGGAAAACAAGCAAACAAAAAAAAATAGCAGAAGCCTGCTTCACCTATTGGAAAGTATGCTTCACCAGCTGTTGAAAATGCACCAGAACTTCCAAGTGCTAACTTGTTACTTCTGCAATCATAAATACATCATGAATATCCTAGAAGTGCAAAACATGTATCCATGTGAAACCTTCCTGGAGTAATTGGGCAAGAAAAATGAAAGCTTATAGTATTTATTTCAGGCTACCTACTTGTACAATAATCTTCAATAATTGTTAAAACATATAAGCCACTTCAAAGAAAAAGCCCTCAAAGTGCCATGCAAGCATTTTAAAATATATTCATGACTACAAAAATGTGGCAAAAAGGGCGAATCTAAAATCGTTACTAGGGAAATATTAGAGATTTTTATTAAGTCAACACAAAATTTATCATACATGAATACATTTTAAGATCTCCATGTAAGGCAGGAAGATTTTCCACTTAAAACTATTCATTTAGCAATCATTCAAAATTACAACCGCACTGAAAAAAGTTACCTATGACCAGTCCTCACACTTATGACCAGCGCAGCTTTCCCCACAATCATGTGATCAAAATTTACCCGCTTAGCTACCAGCACATCTTTACGATGGTAACAGTGTCTCCAGAACATGTGATCACCATTTGCAAGCTTCCCAGCCCACTTCTGACAAGCAAGGTCTAGGACGGAAGCTGGATTTGCTTAATGACATGATTCACTTAACAACTGAAGTGATTTGCTTAACTGTGGCAGAAAAGGTTATAAAACCCAGTGCAATTCATTTAATAGCCACCTTGTTTAGCAATGGAAATTCTGGTCCTAATTGTGATCATAAGTCAAAGACTACCTGTATACCTGAACCAGTTTGGCTTCGTGCAGAAGGTATTGAGCAATGCCTGTGGATTGCCAGTTTTATAAAAGACAAATTTTAGGGTTAATCTACTCTTAGCTATGCTGCCTGTTATCCCCAGGGGATATCCTTGCCCACCTCCTGGCTGTGGGCTCAGCTTCAAACTGGGCATGTGACATAGATACGCCACAAGAAACATCCTAATAAACCATGTTCCTGATTATCCCATTTTATCTAAATTGTCTTGAATGTCATAAAGAAGGCAGTCTGCCATCTGGTGGTGAGGAAAGAGTCATACAGACTACAACGTGTTCTAGAATCTACATCAGAGGTCCCCAACCTTTTGGGCACCAGGGACTGGTTCCGTGGAGAGAAGTTTTTCCACAGACTGGAGGGGGCATGGTTTTGTGTGCTGCCTACATCCCGTGGATGGAACTTTGCTTGTTTGTGCGGACCAGTTGCTGGTATGCCGCGGCCCGGTACTGGTCCACCAACAGGGGGTTGGGGACCCGTTTTAGATTGCATGCAGACTTCTATTTGGCAAAATGAATTTGCTGAAGATGGGAGGAGTAAAAAAAAAAAGACTTTACCTATGTCCAATTCCTTTTAATATTTTTGTTTGCATCTTGCCCTTCCCAGTCATGTAAGCTGGCTAGCCCCTGAGTAGGCAAATCCACCAGTTAATAGGCATTTTAACACAGAAATCAGCTGAAATTATATTACTGAATTTGTGGTTGAATTTTGAGTGGGATTCAGACTGGCTTGTAGCTGGCATTAAGGGCTGATCTGCATAACTGACTTACTCCAGAATGATGATGGACTGCCAATCACTTTTGGAGGTTATGAACGCACAAGATCATCCTATGATTCTAATCGACAAGGAAAATAACCTTCCCTTTTCTTTTTGCTTGTTTAGTTATTCAACCCATCTGCTAGGCTTCCTTTCTTTGTAGGCAAATCCCTCCCTTCCAGTTGATCACTGTGTATGGTCCCCCCTGACTATTTTACCAATTTAAAAAAACTGAACTTCCTTTTTTTCTGTTAGGATAGAAGAGTAGAACAGTGGAATATGGACTTTCTCCCCTCCCCATGAAATTACTGAGAGTTGTGCTGCTCTTCCCTTTGGGTCCAGGTGGCATTTAAAACTTGGTTTAGGGTTAGGTTATCTAAAATCTATGGTGTTTTCTTTTTCCTTTTTACCCTCCTGGAGGGCTAAAGAAGCAGAGAAATACACTAATTAGAACATTAAACTATGCAATTCTGTTCTGTTTTGTATTTGTTCTGTTCCATTTGCCTTTCCATTTTCCAATTTCAAAGTTGCTTCCAAAGTTATATTAGGGCAAGCTGTTGTAGAGTCGGAGAATAATATTGCAGGCAGAGTTTTCCATCAATTGCAGACGTAGGATGAGCTGAGATCATGAACTTTGATATGATTAAAAATATTAACCAATGCACAATTAATGAATGCACAAATGACTTAACTGTTATGGGTGAAACTTTGGCAGCTATAAATCAGCCTTATATCTTTGGTAGGATGTGTCTTTTTCACTGGAAGAAAAAATGTCTCATGTGGCTGTAACATACCACATAGCAACAACATTTAAGAATGGGATGAGAGGCCAGTTTGCACTCTCTATAATTAGAGTATTGGAAATGCTTACAGGACATAACTGGAATATCCGTATCTTAAACTTCTTCTATAATTCCATCTCATTGACCAAGTGATAGCTTTCCACTACATGTGCAAATAATCTCTTAATAAGCACATTCTTAATCTTAAACAGAACAGAGTAAATGCAATGATTTTCTCTGATAGTTTTTATTGCCCTATTGGTTTGTACCAGATCATAAAATCAAGAGAAGCAAAAGACAGGCTTAAGCTTAACATGTGGGGATGAAACAGCTTACCAGATGATTATATTAATGCCATAGTAATGGACTACATCACAAATGGTGATCTCTATATATTTTAGAACACTTATTTCAATTTAATATGCTGGATTATAATTCTTAGCACTTCTGCATAACACAGGCAGAGTAGAAGTTGAGAAATTGCGACTTACGTCAGTACACTACTTGTTAAACTTGTCATTTTGGTAAGAAGTTTATTACATATCTACATGGATGAAAAAACTGGGAACTGAGGAGATAATATAATTTCTTTCTAGGACATTACAGCCACCCAGGCCTTATATCAGGCTGACATAATTAATGGGAGGAATAGAGCCAATTGTTTGATACTGTTGATATATGCCAGAAGGTGTGGACGAAGTTGATGCAATGACATCACTGGAAGATCTGAAAGACCAGATTAGGGATAGATTGTCATGGGGAAAATCTATCTATGTTGTCACTAAGAGTCAACAACAACTTGATGGCACATAACCAATATGTATATATCAAGTACAATAGGCTAGATCCAGACTAAAAAACAATAAACTTGATTACAAGTATAGCCCTCCTGAAATCAACACAGCTTAACTGAAATTAATATTAATTTAATGACTCTAAGAATATTTCCATAGTATTATTCTACCACTTCCTGATTTTGCAAAAAAATCCATTATCCTCTACAAACCTGCCAACTTCAAAATGCCAAAGATGAGGAGCAAAGATCACTGACCCACTCAGAACTGCCAGAAGTTCTCCACTAACAAAAATCCCCTCAAGGAGAAATAAATTGCCTCATACACACCTATATTCTTGTTATCTGTTCTTGTCTGATGGTATGTAAAGTAAAAACCAGATGAACCCCGAACTCTGGGAGTGGGTAGGCAGGAGTTCTGATGAAGGGGAAATAGTAATCCACAGGTTCAAATGAGCCAAGGTATTATCAAATAAAAAAGTATTTTCAGATGCCCAAAGCTGAGCCAGAAACAAATTAATTCAGCTTCTAAACTGGGCAATATAATGAGCTCAGAGATCTAGAGCTGTTCTTAAATTAATGCAGAGCTCTCACTTAGAAATAGCATCCAGGCCAGGAATACAATACTGCTGCAGGAAACTAAGGAACAGCTATTATTTATTCTTAAATGCCTTTGAGATCAGGTGATTTTAACAGAATATTTGACTTCCAACCTTTTGTTTTTTCAATTTTGAGAAAAGAATATAGGCATTATCATGGAGGCAACACTGAGCCTTTTCCCAACACACATTTAAAATACTACCCACCCATCCTGGAACCAGAAGAAAATGTACAGCTGTCAGCATTTTGAGGTAAATAGATAGGAAACCCGTAGAATTTTCAGGGATGCTTTTTATTGTTCTAGGATACAATAGCAATATCTTGAAACTAAACCAGTCAGAATTTTTGTCTATTATATCTTATACCAAACAAAATCAAGACAGGATTATTCTTTCTAAACGTTCTCCTCCCAATGGTTCATCTACCCTTTCTTCATTCTCACTTCCAGCATGTGCAGGTAAAGGGTTTTGAAAAAAGCATCACATTTGCAACTAAAGCCACCCTTAAAAATAATAAAAAAAACCTTCCCAAGTTCAACAGGATACTTTTTCATAAGTGTGGCATCTTGAGCCTGCCCAGGAGGTGATCTGCAATTTCTGCCAGGTGGTAGGAAAGCCTGATTTGAAAAAGGTAGATTCTCTGTCTCTCCTTGAAAGACAATGATCCTGGAGGGAGATGCCCAGGGACCAGAAGGGAAGGTTGTCTCCACACCAGCCTGAAATGGCCAGTAGGTGCCAGAACGATTCATCCCCTTTGGCTACCTGACTGAATCACCGATAACAAAACACATTATATTTTGCACACTTTTATCTAGCATCTGTGACAAGATGCCTACTGTTACAAATTTATCATGGATATCTTCTTTAATGCTGACTACCCTTCCCAACTAATAAAATGGGAATTTACTAGACCTCAAAGCAATGTCCCACTCTTTAGCACTACTTTTCCTTCTTAATAATATATCTAAGCCTTCATAACCTCCACTAGCAATCCTAGAAAATAAAAATGTTAAGTAGTTGCAGCCCATGCTTAATTTGGAAGGGTACTTGACTGCTCAGAGTAAGGAAAAGCTGATCTGAGAGCATTTTAAGGTCTAGAGAGGTCAGCAGGAATATTGTCACTAGTCAGCATAAGTCTCTATCATGTGCTATCAAATTCTCAAGATGCCTAAAAAGTTGAAGTTCTTGGATTAAGTGAGTAGGATGAGCCTTAGGAACAATGACATCTTTGGCATTAATTATCAATGGATGTCTTCTGTTTCTTCAATCTGCTACAACTCCGCTGCAGATACAAGTTCTGCTTGAGGTTTTGCATCTCTCCCCCTTCTGAAGAAGGCATGCTGTCTGCCTTGTCTTTCCTCACACTGAGTTGATATGTACTCACGGTAATTCTTTGTTAGCAGGGTATAAAGAAATGGGTTGATGCAACTGTTGCTATAAGTCAAACAGGTAACACCAAAGTTGAGGTAAGCCTGAGCAGTAGAACCAATCTCCAAGTCCATTGACCAGTATAATTTGGCTAACTGCCAGGCCCAGAATGGTACAAAGCAAGCCCAATAGGCCACAATGATGCTGAAAATCCTGGAGAACAGCTTCTGTTTCAACATTCGGCCCGTCACCTGAGTCTGCATAGTTTTTGTAGAAATCCAATAGCTCCATGCAAGACGTGAGTACAGTATGGCTAGGACAAGGCCAGGTGTTAGGATGCTAGTGCCAAAGAGAATTGTGAGGTAAACTCGGAAGGCATCAGGTGTCCATGTGGGAAAGCAAATATGTTTATGGCTTCCACCTTCCCGCTGCTGGATCATGACCATCATTGGTATTGTAAGTAACAGTGACAGAAGCCACACAGCAATGCTGGCAACCTTATGATAACTGTTCCCAGCAATCCTAGCCTTTAGTGGTCTGGTCACTGCCCAATAACGTTCCAAGCTCATGGCTGTCAGCAGAAAGATGCTAGCGTGCATTGTGAGCAAGTCCAAGCTAAGTAAAAATCTGCATCCTGCATCTCCAAAGAACCAGTCCTGGGCAAAATATGTACAAACCACGAAAGGGATGGTGGAAAGGTAGAGTAAATCTGCCAATGCCAAGTTAATAACATACACACACAAACAGCTTGTTGAACGAATTGCCATGCTGCCAAACGCTACCACCAGTGTATAGATATTCCCTGTCATCCCAACGAGGCACATCAGGAGGAGGATTGCTCCCAAAACTCCTGTGAGAGAACTCTGCTCCTTAAAGTCAATTTCTTCATCTGAGAAATTGCCCCAGAATGATTCTTCAACGAATTCTGCCATTACTGGGTAGCCAAAAGGCACTTCAATGCTACAGAAAACTACCATAGACACATTTTGTGCCTCACATTTGTGGCATTAAGATCAATAATGAAGGATGGGAATGCTGATGGGGAAAAAATCCAAAATAGGTTGGTTATGAGATAAAGAACCTATTCTTCATAAGGAATGATGGCAATGTCTTCTTTGCATGTCATGCTCAGCAATGCTTCTTACCATTCCTTAGAGAAAGACCATGACTGTAAGAAGTACATCCATTGCATTTTATGAATTAAACAGCATGATTTCTTCTTCTTTTTGTTTTCAGCCTCCAAAGATTGTGTCCTCTGTGCATCTGTGGGTCTCAACTACTCTCTCTATTCCAGTATTTATCTGCTAGCCCATTAGTGCAAATAAATCTTCTTGAAGCAATCCAACTGATTTCTTCCTCACCTCTTCTGCTGCCCAACTGTGCCCTACTCAAAAATAGCATTCCCCTTTACGGTGGATGAATGTGTCTGACTCACCACTTCACACTCAGATGCTAACATTCTCAGCAATAACTTCTGGACTGTTAGCTAATGAAGAATGGCACTGTGTATTTAAACCACCATGTCTTCCCATCCATCTAACTCCCATTTTCTTCCTTCAGCTTTCTATCAGTTTCTTCAACCCCAGCTTCTCCCTTTTTGTGCATTGTTGTGTGGAGAAGGAATTGTCTTAGAATAAAAATAGAAAGTGTTAGGATGGAAGAGGACTAGGATGGAATAAGACAAACTAGTTAATGGAATTAACATACTTTCTATAGTGCAACAGAAAGGATTGGCACTGAAAAGAATTCCCTCTTTGATAAGTTTAAGTGTTAAAAAAAGGAACACATAGAATTGCTTGTGTAGCATTGTAATTTTAACAATCTTTTAAATATATCTGGAATAAAGGATGAGTTTTTTTAGTCAAATCATACCTGATATGTCTTCATCTAATCAGGGTGCTCATCATCTTATGTAGTGGTCTATAACAGATGTGATCAGATTTGGATAAACATAGATTTAAAAGAAGCTTTTAGACAATTAAAGCCAGCTTGCAATCAATGCAAGAACTCATATTAAAGCAAGTCTCATATTTCTATGATTCTGCCTCTACTTTAACTCAGCCAGGACTTCATTCCCAATCTTGGAAATTGACAGTTATCATATTTCTCACCCATCGCTTTCATTTTCAAGGCTAAATATATCCAGTTCTTCTTTTAGGACATAGTTTCCAGGACAGAAACTTTGAAAATGTTTTGAAAGAAATGAGTTATGAATCTTACACCTCACTTCTCTGCTGTTTAGTAAAGCTTCCTGCTATTTTTTTGTGCATCTGAGGGAAAAAAAGATTCAGCTGCTTTAAAAGTCACATTCAGTTTAATGAATTGAACGATTAAAACAGACTTACCTTTTTTTCAGGGTTGCATGGAAGCCTAAAAATGACAGGCTGTTATAATTTCACTTTGAAGTGTACAAAGTTTACTTTCCAGGCTAATGATTCTTCCTCTTGTTCCAGAATTTACTTTGCTTCTGTCAGGACATTGAAGTCTGATAATACCAGGGAAGTAGTGGTTGTAGAGGAAGAGTGAGGTAAATAAATGATGAGACTGGAATTCAATCAACCGCGTACTTACTGCACTCTATAAGTTCTGCTAATCTTCTCCATGCTGAGATCCTTCAAATACATTGTTATTCCCAGAATAGTCAACCAGTTCTACCAGATAATTCTAGAAACTATAGTATAACGTTCTGTAGGGTAATGCACTTTATGGAAGGCTGCATGGAGTATTGTGATCCATATAACTTCATTAAGTGGAAGCTTTTTAAATGTAAGCCTATGAGTGAGAAATCAGGGCTGATCTGTGGCAAGGGAAGTAGCAGCAATTTTTTGATCTACCAGTCCCAGGCCTATGGACAGAAAAGACATTGAAATGGATATTGTTTTGTCAACATGACATAAGAAGCATGGATGTGGTTGCACAATAGGTCTGATGATGGCATTGAAAGCAGCCAAATTGCCAGCAGAAGCAGGACTACGAAGACTGTAGAAGCATTTGGTGAAATTATCGTCATTAGGGCTATTATATCTGAGGTGCAGAAATCCAGAAGATGACTAGATAATAGCAAATAACTTTTTGTTACCATCTAAGATTATCCAGATTTTAACAGCTGGGGCTTAGTAGCTGCAATTGATTTACTTTCAGTGATTTTCTACATAAGCGCTACCAAGCTGCCTTGACCGCTGATTATAGAATGAGTTGCTCTCTGAATCAGCTTAATCAGCAGGAAGGAAAGCATTGTTTGAAAAGCTTAAAATAAAACTAGTGGCATGTTTTGAGATGTAGATTTAAGAAAATGATGTTCCTATTAACTTTCCCAATCTTAACTGAGTCTCTTTAAAATACGTTCTTTAAGTTATTCCCTTAAAAAAAAAATGTTGTTTCTAAAGTACCGGTAGCTTCTTGCTGCAAGTTCAAGCACTGATCTGCAGCCTTTAATGAAACCAGCTTTTTCTGGTCCTATTTGTTCATTTGATCAATTCATTGCCCAACCAATACAAGAACAACCAGACTGATTCAAAAAAAAAATAATAATCATGTGGCAGTTGTAAATCTAAGGAAGTCTACATAAGTTTGAAAAAGTCTCATTCAAGCTAATGTCAATTCTTGATGATTCCAAAAGTACATTCATGAAGCTTTCTTTTCAGCATACCATTGGACTTTTCATTTTAATTTCCTAGTCCCTGATATTTCTTTGTAACCTCCCATCCCACTAATACAGTGGTTCTCAACCTTTCTAATGCCGCGACCCCATAATACAGTTCCCCATGTTGTAGTGACCCCCAACCACTTATACATCACTGGCTGCCAGGGGCGTGGCCAAAGAAAAGGGAAAAAAAATGCCGGACAGCCTTGTTTGGCGACCCCTGTGAAATGGTCATTTGACCCCAAATGGGGTCCCGACCCACAGGTTGAGAACCACTGCACTAATAAGTCTGATTCTTGTCAACTTAGCTTTTGAAGGAAGATGCTGTCATCTAATAAGAAAAACAGGCATGACAGGTTAGAGATATTTAAAATGTATTGGGAAAAGATACCATTGATCCTCCATTCAATTGCTTTAATTATGAAAAAAACAATTTAATTAAGGATTGTTGTTTTTCGTTTCTCTGATTCACTTTCATTTCTGTTGGATTGAAAAATAATAGAAAAATATTTCAAAGATTGCCCACATGGGTGATAAATGTGCAAGAGAAAGAGTAATAGAAGATGGAATAAACAAATGGATCCATCAATATTTCATTTCAGAAACAGCAGCACATGTGATTTTTTTAAAAGAATTGGGAACCCAGCAGGATATGCATCTTTTATGGCCCATCAAAACTGTCTGTTTGTTCAGTTTGCTTGAATGTGGATAGAATTGATGCAATGAGGTGGGCAACCTTTTCAGGGGTGTCCACAGGCTATGATAAAAAAAAAATCAAGATGAAATCAAGGTTCCATCTATTTTATGTATGTACAACACATAAAAAACAGGCAAAATTTTGATTATACCATCACAGCTGCTATACTGGCTTTTTTTTTAACCATGTCTTATGGACGCTTCTCACTCTTTACAATCATTTCCACTTGGGAGTTAGTTTTATTCAAAGGATGAAAGAGACTTGCTCCAATGATACAGTGATATATAGCAAGGGGAGGTTGAGGCACGTTTAAAGATAAAAATGGATGCATTGACCCATTCATTTTAAATTTCAAGTTTTTGGAAAAAAAAGCATTAAAAAGTATACTGCCAAAATCAGCCATTTGGTCATCAAACTTTAATGAAACAGTTCTGAGGTTCTTTAACAAACCATACTGAGGAACAAAGGATGCTATGTAGTCTAAATATGTCTTGCCGCCTCTGATTAGTGAATTGTAGAAAACCTAGAATTTTCATATCATTTGGATAGGAAGCCAATAAAGTTATAGGCAGCAGAAAATTGGCTGGCTCTCACATTGGTATTGATGGGGAAAGTGAAAATAATGCAATTGAAAGAATGAACAAGACAATATAAAGTAGCATTTTGTACACCTTAGCCTTTAAAAGGAGCTTGCCAATCGTCTACAGGCAACTTTAAGAGACAGGTCTACAGTCCTTTCCTCCCCACTTTCCTTTGAAGAAAATTTCAGAGCACAAGCACACCAAAAATGGCAACCTATCATATGGACTTGAGTAAGCAGAAAAATGGGAAAGAATGGTAGGCCTGGAATCAGAATAATCACAGAATGACAGGCAAGTGGATACTGACACAACCATCATCCTGGTGGCCCTTCACATTCCTGCCAATGTCTGCAAAGCTCGCCAGGCAATCAGCAGCAAGCAATAGTAGTACAAAAATGGGAATGTGCATATTTTGATCAATGCAAATAAACTATTCAATTTATTGAAGGGCTCTGCAGTAGCATCCATCAGCTGCTTTACATCAGTCTTTGTGCTTCTTATTTCTATACCAAGTGTAGTTCAGGGTCAAAATGACAGAGGACTTTGAGGGACAGATGTCCAGCAGTATTTTGGCAAAGGGCGGTCTAAATGGATTTTATTTCTTTCAACACTTCTTCCTGTTCTGAGAGAATGCGTAGGCTGCTTTGACTCCAGAAAGTCTTTTCTTCTGTGTTATCCAAAAACTGTAGACCAAGAAAACAGCAGCAACTCACTCTTCCCCAGAGATGTTAATGTTTGATCCTAAAATTAGCTTCAACTGTTAAAAAAAAAAGTGAAAATCTATTATATTATAAATCTACTAAGGCAAAAATAAATAGCCATAGGCAAAGGGGGGATAATTCTGCAACGCTATATTTACACTGATTTTATTGCTGACCATATGACATAATTTATTTTAAAATTACTTTTTTAGTCCTGATGGTTGACAAGCTAAAAGGGTTGCGGGCACTGCCTAGTGGCAGCAAGAGATAACAGCTGCATTTTACTACCCAACAGCGTATAGTCATACTG